TGGATACTTAGGAAAAAGAAGTTCTAAGCAGAGAGAACAAGGAGTGTGCATAACAGGCTCATGGGGCAGCAGTGTGTACAGGACACAGAGCAGAGTGAGCAAAAGGAAGAATACTAAGAGGCCAGAGAAGCACAGGCTACAGTGTATTTGGTCTTGTGGGACACTCTACAGAGTTCTGCTTTCATCTCTGAGTGAGATGAGAAGTCACTGAAAGGTTTTGTGCAGAGAAGTGACATGAAATGACATGTTCTTAAAGACTCACAATAGCTACTATATTGATAATAGATGGAGGAAGGGAGCAAGAGTGGAAGCACAGAGGCTATTAGGTTATTGCAATAATCCATGTAAGGGATGCAGGTGGCTTGAGCAGTCCAAAGATGCTAAGCGTCTTCCCAAGGTCACATAACTAGTAAACATAGAGGTAGGATGTGACACGAAGTCAGATTTCAGCCCCTATTGGATGCTCTCTAAAAATTTTCATGTGAATAAAATCAGGACACAAACCCTAAAGTTCTCATTTTGAAAAAGTTATTAAAAGGCATGTTTATTTCACCTTGCCACTCTCTCATTAAATTGGGTCTTGTGCCAATGTGTTGCTCTCCTTTCTGGTATACTTTTGAAGTGCCTGCAAAATGTTCAGATAAATTGGATGCAGGTTGCGTGAGAAAGAGGAATCAAATATATAAACTCCAAGATTTGTAATATAGAGCATGAAAGTCACCATTGACTGTAATGGGGAAGACAAATTTTATGGGGAAGATCAGGAAATAGGTTTTACGCAAGCAGAGAAAGAGGTAAATTCAGATAGCGATGACAAGAAGACAATTAATATAGGAATCTTACTGATTCATTCTGAGTGCCCTAGATGAACTGATTGTTAAATATCTGGATTACCACACGCTGTTAAATATTTCAAATATTGTTTTTGATAATATCTACGAAGTGGTATTGCAGTTCTCAATCTCACTCATTTGTTACATAATGTGTATATCGAGGTCTATTTTTATGAAAATGCTACTTAGATCATGTGAAATTCCTTTTCTCAGGGATCTTCAGTGGCTCCCCCTGGCCTATGCAATAATCTCAAAATTTCTTAATGTGAAATTTGAAGTCTTTCACAATTTGATCCTAATCAACTTTAGATGAGCTCTACTCTAGTTACAGTGGGCTTGTTACAATTCTTCATACTTAGGTTTGTCCACTTCCATTCCGTTTATGTTGTTCACGTTATGGCAATATACCTCAGCTTTTACCATCTATCAAAATCCAATCCACCCTTCAAGGCCCAGCAGAAAGTACAGCTCCTTCCATAAGGATTAAGGCTGGGAGTGAGCTCTCTCTCTGAATTCTTGCAGGGAAGCGGATATATATTATGTGTATACATATTAATTTAATTGGAAGCAGGGACCTTTGCTTATTTTCCTTTGGCATCCATTCAGTGCCAAGTGAAACATAAATGATCGATGGTCCTTTCCTTTGTTCATATTATTTATTGCACAAATAATTTGATCAATGTCCCCCTATCTTTAAGATCATATTATTAGCAGTAGTATCTAAGTTTTTATATGTGTTCTCACAAGTAGCAAGACGACACTATTAGGCCCCTAGGAGAAGGACACTATTACTATTCTCATTTTACAAATGTGGAAGTTGCACCTTAGAGGCCTTAAGCATCATGCCCAATGTCACGGGTAGTGAATGGGAGAGCCAACATATGAATCTAGATGACCTGAGTCAAGAGTCAGACTTTTTTGTCACCAGCCAAGGTTCTCAGTCCTGCCTGGATAACACACTCACCTAAAAATTCATGCAAATAGATTCAGGAAGCAAAAGAGGTTTTCAACCCTCATTCTAAAAGGATAATAAAAAAAGGGGGGGGGTATGTTTATTTTACCTGATAAAGAATGCCTCCTAGCATTTGTAGAACTGTGATGATCTGTCTTAGACTAGTTCTGAGAGAATTATCATCAACTCAGATGAGAGTTACAAACTAACTAGTGGCTGGTAGTTCTTTGGTCCTTTTTCTTCACCATATCTCTCTTTGTTAATTATTTTTCTCTGCGTAATATTTTAGTGACTTGAAAAATGAAGGCTCTTCAGAATCCCCTTGGAAACACGTCTTTTTCTCTGAGAGTTATTGCAGATAGTAAGACTTCTCACAAAACAAAGCTTGACTGAAAGCCAGACTCTTTTTTTTTTTTTTTTTTTTTTTTTTTTTTTTTTTTTTAGAAAGAGAGAGCATGAATAGGGGAGTGGGAGAGAAAGAGAGAGAGAGCGAATCTCAAGCAGACCCTACGCTCAGGGTGGATCCCAACACAAGGCTTGATCCTCTGACCATGGGATCATGACCTGAGCCAAAATCAAGAGTTGGATGCTCAACCAACTGAGCCACCCAGGTACCCCTAAGAATCATCCTCTTAAGTACATAGTGCATGTAAGCGGGCTGGAGGTGAGGTAAGAAGGGTATATGTAACAGAAAATGTCCAGTTTATTTCTAAGACTGGCCTAGTGCAAGCTCCTATTTTCTCAATCCAAACTTGGGGCTCTCCAGAAGAGTTATTGTTAATTCATAAATTACCACATGTCTCTCTGAAGCTAATAGAAAATCTGTTTGCTGTTAAACTGCATAGCAGAAGACACAAAGGAATTGTAATGAAAAATGTAATGGTATAGGATTTCCATTCAATGGAAGCCATCACACCACACTGTGCTGAAACAGTTGAGTATGCATCAGGATACTGTACAGAGGAGACCCAAAAGGCACCAAGGCCAAGCACTGTACTTTTTGTCAAGAAATGATCTTTCCAACTACTTTTCTAGGTCAATGTTACCATATCCACTGGGTTATTACTACCAAAAACACAGATAAGGCTGAAAGGAACCTTGAACTACATCTATATATCTCTATCTCTATCTCTATCTCTATCTCTATATCTCTGTAGCTCTATCTCTATCTCTGTCTCTATCTCTATCTCTATCTATATATAACTATGTTGTGGGGGATAGCGTTTGGAAGAAAATATTTTATTTTTTTTAATATTCATTTATTTTTAAGGGAGAGAGAGAGACCGAGTGGGAGCGGGGAGGGGCAAAGAGAGAGAGGGAGACACAGAATCTGAAGCAGGCTCCAGGCTTCGAGCTGTCAGCACAGAGCCCAACGTGGGGCTCGAACCCACAGACTGAGAAATCATGATGTGACCCAAAGTCAGCTGCCTAACCAACTGAGCCACCCAGGCACCCCTGGAAGAAACTATTTTCATGTTAGAGTTTTCTTTTTCTTTTTGGATGAGCAGGTTTTAGTGTTAATGAAGTGTCAGTCTCCAGGAAATCTCTGCTTATGTCCCCTAAAATCAGATCATATGTGAATCATAACTCTTACTTTTAGAAATCAGAACAATTTGATTCCCATCTGCATTTTTGGATATTGCCTTAAGGAAATATCACTCCATTTCACAAGTGTACCCCCAAACCAGACCAAGAAACTAGCAAAAAACAAAACCATGTATACATACACACACACAGCAAAAAGTCTGTAAATGTGGCATGTAGATATTCATCAATTTATTCACTCAGCAGAATGTGTTGAATATGTGCTGTGTGTCACATTACTGTAGATACGGAGGTGAACTTACAAACGTGTAAATACACTGTGTAAATGCTAAGTAAAGGCTCTGGTTGGTAAAAGGAGATCAAATAAGGTTATGGGGTAAGAGAAGCATTAGGCAGATTTCCCAGGTCAACTGGTTGGAGGGGGCCCAGACAGGGGAATGTTCCAGCCAGAGAAAGCAGCAGGTGGTAGGTACATGGCTTGTTTCAGGAAATGAAGGGGGTTCAGGATGGCTGGATCACAGGCAGAGTTAGAAAGTGGTGCTAGATATGAAGTAGGAAAAAAAAAAAAGACAACAGCCACATCTTAGATACTCATCATTCTCTTTTAAAGAATTTGAATTTCAGGAATTGTAGGATTTATCCTGCATACAAGTGGCTATCTCATAGGAAGGTGTAAACAAAAATGTAAATTAAGTAATTGACTGTAAATTCTTTGTTTTCTTCCTTCAGCAACACATTCTTTTCTTTCTGTATTCCTGGCTCTTCTGTGGTCCCTCTCCTCCAAGTCTGGAATGAGGTCTTCTGTTCTACCATGACTCATTTGTGTAGTTCCAAGCATCATTGCACACTTTTATCTGCATTACGCAGTATTTCATTACCTCAATACCGTAGGAGTCAACTCATGAACACTAAAATATTAGTGCCAAAAAAACAAAAGATTGAACCGCAAATGGATCATCGAGAAATCTGGACTTAACAAACTATCATCAAGACAGTCTTAAACTTGAGAACCAAGTTTAAACTTTCTGCCAATATAAAACATTAGCTTTCCAAACAATGCCCATTTTTGCTCTAATGAATTTTCTCTTTTAGTTCCATAGGAATTAGTAGCACGTACAGAATTACGTATGACTCATTAAGTTCCACACAGCTAAGCTCACAGTTAGAAGGCATTGCCAGAAAATCTTGCCTTCAGGGAAGCAAGTAACCTAGTTGTCAAAAAGTCAATAGTTACCTAACTCTCTGGGAAATACAATGAAGTTATGGCAGTCTGGCTACTGAGGAAAGACTTGGTTTGCCCAGGCTTTCTGTGGTAACTTCCTCCTCCAGTGGGAGAAACTGCCAGTAAAGGAAGAATGACAATTTACATACCATAGTGAGGCTAATCGGCCTCTCCCTTAGTCACAGCCTGCCTACTTGAGACATCCTGGGAAATCCCTATTTGGAAGAGAAGAAAAGTTAAAATCACAGATGCTGTGCTTATAACCTTATTCTGTGTAATTCATATACAGAGTCACTTCTGTTCACTTTTAATGAAAAACAATTGCTGTTATTTTCCACCATGAGTTAACAGTGCGGTCTTTTAAAAATTTTGTATATTTGGTTTCACTTTGAAAGATACCACAAGAGACATTTTCTTTCTCTTTTTCCTTCTGTCTTCCAAGACTCCAGGAAAAACAGCTTCCATGGCATATTGTGTACAGGGCACAACTAGAATGAGTGCTGCAGAAAGTTCTTCGGAGCACGGAGAGGTAAGAATACATCTTTAGGGGATGAATTGACCATATATAGCATCAATTGCATTTTTAATGGTTAATTATGCAATGATGGATAAGAGTAGAAACGGCTACTTTGCTTTCTTTAGATAATAGCTGCTCTGTATTTTTTTAAACTTTTTTTAATGTTTATTTATTTTTGACAGAGAGAGAGAGAGAGAGAGAGAACACAAGCCTGGGAGGGGTAGAGAGAGAGAGAGAGAGAGAGAGAGAGAGAGAGAG